TATAAGCCAACACAAACCAAGGAGGAGGTTAAAACTCTGGTGGATATAGACAAGAAATCTTACCGCAAAAATAAAAACGAATACAGAAATGTTGCAACAGGTATAAGAGAGGTTGGAACTATAAAAATGTTCTAATATGTTTTAACCACTTTAGTTTTGTAAAGTTGATGTTCTTATGATACTATGTTTTGGCCAGTCTGGAAAAAATATTCGTGTTTTATCATGTTTGCTTAGCAAAATATGAAGAATAATTTTTCACCATATTACAGATAAGCAAAACATATTAAAATACATGTTCAAAGAATTTTGAATGATGCTTATGCATACTTAATACACAATCAATCGTATGTATAAACCATATCTATGATTTTTCGTCGAACAAACAAGTTTTCAAAAAAAAGAGACCGATATGAGTTCATATAAAAACATAAAGCCACTATTTATAAGATAATACAAGACATATCAAAATCTAGTTTTTCTCTTTTATGTCAACTATCGAATAAAGAAACATATAAATGTTTTTTTTAGAAAAGGTAATGATCAAATTTAACAAATATCTGAAAAAATAATGCAAATACAAAACGACAAATAATATGAAAGAGAGAATAAATTAATGAAGGTGAAATACACTATAAATAAAGAAAATGAAACCATAAGAAACAATAAATAATAAGCCAAGTCAAACCAAGGAAAAGACTAATAATCTGGTGGATATAGGCAAGAAAACTTATCTCAAAAATAAAAACGAAGATAAAAATGTTACAACAGGTATAAGAGAGGTTGGAACCATAAAATGTTCTAATACATTTAAGACACTTTAATTTTTTGAAGTTGATGTTCGTATAATACTATGTTTTGGCCGGTCTAAAAAAATGATTGTATTATCATGTTTCCTTGGCAAAATTTGAAGGATACTTTTTCATCATAATACAGATAAGCAAAACATATTAAAAATACACGCTCAAAGGATTTTGTATGATGCTTATGCACACCTAATACTCAATCGATCGTATGTATAAACCATATCTATGATTTTTAGTGGATCAAACAAAATTTC